GTTTCTTGACAAAAATATAGGAAATACTGATCTTGAGGTAGGATACAAAATGCACTAACCATTTAAAGTGATTGAACTGGACTTCTGCTTATGACACCAGCAAGAAGGTGCAAAGGCAAGCCGCAGACTGGGAATGTGCAGTACGTGATCTGACAAAGGTGTCAGTAAAGAGCTCCTGCAAATCAGCAACAAAGACAGTCCATTTAAGAACAAATACACCTTCAGCCAGACAGACAAGTATCACAGGATGTCGCTTCCACGTGGAATCTAAAGAAAAAATGCAAATTTCATTTACAAACCAGAAATAGCCTCATGGACGTAGAAAACAAACTGTGGTTACCAGGGGGAAGAGGTGGGGAGGATAGACTAGGAGCTGAAATTAACACACACACATTACTGTTCAGCACAGGGAACTCTGCTCAATTTCTGGTAATGAGCCATGATGGAAAACAAATGGAGAATATACATTTGTATGTGTGTATATGTATAACTGAATTGCTTTGCTGTACACCTGAAGCTAACATTGTTAACTACTTGAATAAAAAATAAGAATAAAAAAGGAAATACATCATAAAAGATTTACTGATTGACAGTAAGAACAGAAAAGGGCGCTCAGTGTTACCGCTTTCAGGAAAATCCAAATTAAAACCATGCGGAGATACCACTTCACCTGTACAAGAATGGCGAAAAGTCAAGACTGACAATGGCAAGTGCTGGCAAGGCTGTGGGGCAGCTGGAACTGCTGTCGCGTTAGCCAGCGCTCCCCAGAGAAACACAACCAGTGGGGGTGGATCTGCATCTCCGTCTAGACCTGTGGAGCGGAGGACCACGGATACGGAGGACCACGATGGATACGGAGTCACTGCTTCCGAGTCACACAGAGGGTGAGAGAGAGACTGATCATGAGGACTGACCATGGAGACAGGGACGCCCCCTGGCCTGCCAGAGTCAGGAAGGCCGGTGGTGTAACTCAGTCTGAGGACAGGGGAAGCAATGGTGGAAGCCCCAGTCTGAGGACAGGAGAGCTGAGATGTCCCAGCTCCTCAGTGAGGTAGAAAAAGGGACGAATTCCTCCTTCCTCCATCTTTTGTTCTAGTCAAGCCCCTCTGATTGGATGGTGCCCACCCCGGTGGGGGAGGTGGACTAACTTTCCTGCGTCCATGGACTCATGCTCACCTCCTCTGGAAGCACCCTCGCAGACACCCCTGGAAAGAATGTTTAATCTGGGTAACTCCAAGGCCGTCAGTCACCCCATGAAGTTAACCGTCACAACTACACATGGTGGGTGGGACCGTAGAATGGCTCAACCACCCAGAACACCTGTTTTGCCTTTTCTCGTGAGATAGGCCCGGCAGCCCGCTCTCAGGCACTTACTCAAGGTAAGTGAGAACAGGTGCTGGTCAAAAAGACTGTACCAAGGTTTTATTCATAACAGTTTAAATGGTTCAAATCAGTGCAAATAGTTCCAAACTGGAGAAGCAACCCAAATTCAATCAAAGGGTGAGTGTGTGAACAAAGTGTGGTACAGGCACACACTAGGACACAGGATAACAAAAATGAAACAGTAACACAAAGGAATGAACTGTGCACTCAGTAGCTGAGACGAACCTCAAAAACAGTGTTGTATGAAAAAAAAAGACCTGGGGGCACTCTTTGCCCCAAACTGTGTGTCCTTCTCTGCAGAAATGGCCAACGGGGTGTGTCTGTGGCTGCATTAACTCAGCCCAAGATAGAGTCGGCAGAAGGCAGGTGCGTGGAAGGCCCTCTCCAGGCCGGCAGGGCGGGGTCCCCAGCACGCCCGTGCCCTGAGCCGAGGGCACGCTCCCTCACTGCTGCACCCTCGCCCTTTCACTGGGTGCCTGGACCACCTCCACTCTTCACCCTGCCTCCCCCACGCCCCCTTTGAGGGCTGGCAGCCCAGGGGACAAGGCGTGGGGGGGGGAACAAAGCAGGAGAGGCAGAGAGGAGGTGCGGGACCTGGAGGTAAGGCAGGCAGGGCCACGCTGCTGCCACGTCTGGCGGGTCACTGGAATCTGGTGGGGGAGAAGGGCACATTGTTCCACGCTGGAGACAGGACCTTTTTGTTCCCAGAGCCCTTGCAACAAGGACTAAGCTGTTTTCTTGCTTTGCTCGTCTCCAGTTGGGGGAGGAGACCGGCAGAGCTCTAAGGAAGGAAAGCCGCCCCACGAGCCTCGAAGACCAGGGGAGGGAGGCTGGGCGAGAGGCCTCCATTTCAGTGCCTCAGGTTTGCACGTGGACTCCTTGGGGCCCAGCAGGTGACACCTGGCGGTGGGAGGGCTCTGGAAGGGCTCTTCACACAGACACCCCCCACGTCCTCCCCCACTCCTCCTCCGCCTCTGGCAGACCCTCCAGGGAGCTGGAGCTGGGAAGGAAGGACAGAGAAAGGGGACACTCACGCGTGTTCTAGAGGGTTCTTCCCTGCTCAGAGAGCCCTGGTCCTGCCTGAACAAGCTCGAATTCTCAGCACGGTGAGCATGGGAGTCATTGGTGCCCGGGAGACCCATAGGAAGGAAAATACTATGATTCTAGGGGCCCAAAGGAACCCCTGCACCCCTATCCTGTGTGCAGGTACATCTGTCTTTCCGCCCTGACATTTTCCATTAGGGCATCTGCAGCCCCCGCCATCGTGTAAGAGGCCAGCACACCTCAGGTCTCGGTCCACTTTCACCGTATTATCGGGGGCCACTAGGAGGAGTGGGGGAGGGGAGGGAGGATGGAGGGGGGAAGGGAGGGGGAGGGGAGGGAGGATGGGAGGGGGGAAGGGAGGGGGAGGGGGAGGGGAGGGAGTGGGAGGGGGAAGGGGAGGGGGAGGGGGAGGGGAGGGGGA